AAGAGCGGCGAATGCTGAACACACATGGCCAACATACAATAACTTGCTTAATATCCTGAATTCTGTGATAAGAACACGTGTCAAGATGGTGTCATTGCAAGGGCTTCTTGTAAATGCCCCAAAATGTCAGTAAATAAAATTCTCCTGAAATGAAACAAGCCACAGAACAAGCAGGAACCCACCCGTCTGAGTGGGGAGTTGTGACTCGCTGGCTATTGTGCGCACTTGGTGGACCTAGGACGAGTCGGTAAAACGCATCAAGAGGCTTGAAATTTTGGGGGCCAAATTCCTCCCAAAGGCAATTCATGGGGAGTAGAGCCAGTCGGGGCGTTGCAGGGGCATTGGCAGACCTGGCGGGTGGGGCTGGGGTTGCATGCATGAGCGAGTCGGGTGGGTTTGGAGCAGTAAGGGGGGCCCCAGTGTTTTGATACAGCTCTCTGTGGTGAGCAATGCAAGTAGTCCCCCAAAAGCCAGCCCCTTTTGGGCGCGAAGGGGGACTTGCTTTGGGAGAGGTGTGTGCCTAAGATTTGCTCTGCCAGCTGATGACCAAATTCTTGTCGCTGAGGATGATGTCGAGTCTTGTTTTCATGCGAGTCGGGCTGTTGAATCAGTATATTTGGAGCTGCCTCAGCAGTTTTGGGGAGCTGGATGTCTCCGTGAACAAATGCAAGCCGTCCCCAGACATCCCCTTCTGGGAGTAAATGAGGAAACTCGGCCGATTCCCCTTTCTCCCCCTAGATCCCGTTTTCTCAGCTCTTGGGTAAGAGTTTTGACGGGTTCTCTTTTTAGAACGCCTCGAGGTGTGTGCCCATGCCAGTGGCCTAATGGGACGCCATCTGCTTTGTTTAGATTCTGGCTGCGATTCTGTGACCGATACGGAGGCGGAGGACGAGAGACACCCCGTTTATTCCAAGAAACTCGCAATGAGTCAGCCGCACAGGGGCTCTGAGAGTGCCCTGGGAGAGGCGGTGGTGCTGCCGGAACGCATCCGCTGTGGGGTACAGTATGTCCGTTGCCTCTCGCGTTCTCCACGGGGGCTGAACCGTGCCTGTGCTCTGCATTGCCAGGCTGGGAGCCCCGAGCTCCGTTCTTCTCCTCCAGCCCTGCCCACAGGGTCCCTTCTCCAGAGATCCTGCCCCCAGCCTAGGCGCAGCACTGGGATACTGTCCTGTGGTTGTCCTGGCTGTGCGGGGCAAGCGTTAAACAGGGTTGCCACCCATCCTGAAGGTTGTGCATGAGACTCAGGCTTTTCTGAGCGTACCCAGGTAGGTGGGATGTACTAAGTGGTGCTGAACATTCGGGCCCTGGTGTTATCGCCCCAAAGGTCCCTTGGCACTTCCTGGATCAGTTTCCTGTCTCTTCTGAAAGACAGCAGCTCCGTCAGCAACTCCCCCCAGCCACCAGCCCCCTCAAATGGCGATTCTCTGTGCATGTGCCCCAGCAAAGTCTGGCCCAAGAGCACCATCTGATGGAGCGCTGACCCGGCTTAGCGTGGGACCCGATGGCCTGCAGCTTGTGGTCCTGTCTCTTATGGATGCCGGGAAACCCAACAGCTAAGCGGCCCCGCGGTGTTGCAATCTGACCACCAGCTGACGTTACTTCCTGTTCCTGCACCGCAGTTTCGCCTGTTCATGCGACGACACCAGGTCTGCGGCAGGCACTCGGCGTGTTTCCCAGC